TCTGCGCAAAGACTGATTGCATAGACTTCCGCTTGGAAGATGCTGGGGAAAGTCCCCAAGGGGCTGAGAGTTTCAGCCTAGGGCCATATACTCCTGCTCCAATACCCTCAGGGGTTTTGGAGCCGTCCGTGTACCACTGTAAAGTGCTCGCCTGTACGTGTCCCTCCAAGATAGGCGTGCTCCAAGTCGCCTTTCTGTATAGATCTACTTTGAAGTTTCTTTCAAAGACCACTACTCTGTGCATATCATCCCTAGGAAACAGCACTAATGGGAGCTGGGAGCCTAGCTTTTCCCTGTTCCTGGATGATAGCACTTTACCTTTTCCAAAGCCCTCTCTCGCAAAGTTTAAGAGCGTACGTTTTGCCACCTGTTCAATCGTAATGTGCAGTGGCTCCAGTTCAAGGACTACTTCCAGCGCTGCCGTCGGACATGTGCGCAACTGTAACAGACTTCAGAGCAAGATCAAGGAGATAACCGTCTTCATGACAAGGCATGGTATATTGATAGTTGCGGTCGAAGAGGCGAAGTTGCACAGTAATTCAACATTGTTGAATTGCTCCCGATCCAACGTGCACCGTCGAGATCGTGAGCGAGATAATGGTGGTGGCTTACCGTTCATTACGCACGACACCGTGCAGTATCGTCTTGTCGAAGCAGAAATCGACCACAGGAATACCACCCTAGAATATCAGGACATTGCTTTCCGGTCAGAAGTTGTCGAGCTCTAAATATTTAACGTTTATATAACCCCTGTTACTAGCTGCCCGGCAGGATATCATCCTGATATAGGTGCGCTCGTCGGAGGTGAAAACCGTATGGTAGCTGGTGACTTTAATACGCACGATCTTTGGAATTGAAGCCTGTCAAAAGATCGTAGGGGAACAGACTTGGCTGAGCAGATAGACGATTCGACATTCTGCACAATGAACGACAATGCACCCACCAGGATTATGGGTAACTGCAGTAGCTCGCCAAACATCACAATAGTCAGCGCTGGTCTGATAAACAGCATAACGTGGCGACCTATGCTGACTCTAGCATCAGACCATCTACCCATAGTCATCTCGATTGATAAACCAACCGGCTTTGCCTCCGCCAAACACCGGACCTATATCAACTTTTCTAAAGCTGATTGGAAAGGTTACGCGGAGTTTACCGAAAACACCTTCGCAGCGCTCCCCACACCAACCGACGTCCATCTCGGTGAACGTAAGTTCCGCAGGCTTATCACTGCTGCTGCAGCTCGCTTCATACCGGCAGGATGTATATCGGACCCACGTCCAAACTTCCCTGCCGAAGCGGCTGTTCTAGCTGATGAGCGTGATAGCCTTCGTCAGGCCGATCCCGGAGATCCCCGTATCAGGGATCTCAACGCGGAGATTCGGCAACTTGTAAACGTACATAAGCGGAAGAAGTGGGAGGAGCACCTGAAGACTTGTAATTTCACCTCTGGTGTGAGCAAGCTCTGGTCAACCGGTAGGTCATTGTCTAATCCGACGAAGCACGACGAAAGGGTCGAAATTTCTTTCAGCGACTAGGCTTCATCGGACCCGTAGCGATGCGTGAGCTATTCTAGCCAACAGTTCACACTGCATCCTCCGGCAAACAAAGCCAAGCGTCGAGTGACCAGAAGGCTGCACAAACTGCCAACAACCTGTGCCCCTCTTGCTTTCACTAGTGGTGAAGTTCGGGTAGCCATCGGGAAG